GACATAAAAAGATATATATATATATATATATATATATATAGATATATATATATATATATATATATATATCTTGGTGGTAATTCAAAAAGAAAATATAGTATTTTGCCCTCTATCTCACTTAAAATTATTCTCTATTAAAGGCAAGATAAGGTGCTGTTTTAGGGTCTATGATTTGTAAATTAAAATAGTATTATAATTAATAAGAAAACAATTGCTTATAGTATTCACTTGTTTCATACTTCTGCATGTTACCAGGTTCTCTATATTTACTTGTTTCCATGAGATATTCTTTATAGAAACAAGTGATTAGGAGATCAGGTATCTAATTTTACGGACTCTATGCTACGACCTACAAATCTGAGATAACAGACACATAGCTTGAAAGAGACAAAAATATTAATTGACAATTAAGTATATATCTAAATCTTTTTAATAGCTTGAAAGAAACAAAAATATTAATCGATATAAGTAGTAATGTTAATTAATTTTATTGAGTTTATGAAATAAAATCATGATATATCAATTTTACCTTTTGTACTTATCATTAAATTTTTATGGAAGGAGTGAAAATATTATTCTATATCAAAGTTTATATATTAATATACATAAAATTGATAAATGATAATTAGAGAGTTTAAGAAATGGGAGAGGATATTTATTTCTCAATTTGTTTTTATCATTATTCAATAGAAACAAACATAAATTCTCATAATTTTTAATAAGAACAAAAAATAAAAAAAATAAAATTATTTTATAAAAAAAATGGTAAAATATCTCATAAAAACACTATCATTACTTTTTAAATTATGTCTTATAATAAGAATTAAAAAAATATTATTACTAAAAGAAATTTTATTCAAATTGAGTAAAACAACTATGTAAATAACAAAGTTCTCAGTACGAAATATTAACCCAACTAAAAATTGAAGATTACCGATTAAGTTAAAAAAAAAAAAAAACACAAATTTATCCCACCAGTACTGTTGATGATAATTCATGCACCTTCTGTAACTGATAATCTTTTTCTGCCGAAACTTAGATGGTATTAATTGTATAATAACTTTTTATTAAATTAAAAAATCTCTATATAGAGTACATATACATTCTTAACTTTTAAGGGAAAGTCCAACTTCTACACCACAATAGCTGTATCGTTACTTCACTTTAATACACAACCGAGAGGACGAACTAATTTACAGCATTATAATTTTGATGATTATTTTTATTTTTGGTTTCAATATTTTTTTTGTAAAGTTTCACTTTCATCCTTAAAGTATTTTTTTATACTAAATTTATCTTTCTGTCGATTTATTTCACTAAATTAGTCAATTTAGTGATACTTGATATACTGTAAAAATGTCACGTTAGAATAAAACAAACTAGTGCAAAAAAAAATGACAGAAGGATAATTTTATTAATAAAAATACTTTTAAGAGATGAAAGTGAAATTTTATAAACTAAAATGACAAAAACTAAAATCTAATATAATAATACGAAACTCAAATTCTATTTTAGCCTATAAATTTTACGAACTGTAATTATTTTTTAATAATTTTATATAAGAAATATAAATTTTGTTGAACTATTTTTTGAATTATAATTTTATATTAACTTATAAAAAATTTATCAAAAATTCAACAATAAAAAAAATCAAATTATTCAAATCATGTATCAAATAATTTTGGATTATTAGAATTTTTTTATTTAAGATTTATTTGGGGAAAAAAAACTTTCAATTTAATAGTACATTTTAGAAAAACAATATTCATCAAAAACTATTTAATGACGTAATAGTGTTGGAAAATCAATCAAAATTTCTAATTTGAAAATTTTAAGATATTGTTTATTTATTTATTTTAAGATGTTGTTTAGTTATAAAAATACTGTTTTCTTTTGAATGATTTTTAGAATTGAAAATATTATATTTATTTTAGGAATTTAATTACTTTCTCTTATAATGTGATGACATCATGTCCAAAGATCAAATTTAAAAGGAATCAATGAAGTAGACTAGGCTTAAAGGAAGAAGGCTAGCTCAAACTCATTATATTTTGAGTAATTTTAGTAACTTACTTTTTCTTCTTTGTGTATATTTTTCTTGTAAATATTTCCTTTATTTTTGACTTTGTATTTGTTGTCATTTACTATAGGTATTTTTGATATTGTATTAAATTTGAGTTTGAGGTGTAACTAGTAGTTTAAGGGAGTGTAACTAGAAAATGACCATTTGTTGGTGTTGGGCTTAAATAGGCCAAAATTGTTTTACCCATGGTCCAACATGGCTTGGTTATGGATCTCCACATGGCTGGTTCAAGTGGATTAGATGACCAAGATATGTGGGAATCACATGTCTCTTATCCATCCAAGTGGCCAACATATTACATGATCTTATCTAGTCACACCAAGCACATGTGCCACATGTCAAGCCTCCATTGAGTCTCCTAGATCTAGATGTTGGTCAGTCCACATGGCGAGCCTCCATTGGCTATTTTAGATCTAGATGTTGGCCTTTGGTTGGCTTAGTTAGACGTAATTTAGTTAGCCATATATAGTTAGGATTAGTTAGCTTAAGTATACATTAATTAAACTAGCTTGGGCTATTTTTCTAACCTAGGTTAATTTAGCTTTCACCAACAGCTACTAACTCCTATATAAGTCTTTTAGCTTGGATATTCATATCACTTTTGAGTTTATAGAGATTGAATTTAGAAATTCTCTCTTCTAAAAGTTTTTCTTTCTCTAGAGGAGAAACCTCTCTTTAAGTTCTTTTATTAAGGAATCCTCCTTGTGGCAAGAACAACCTTCTAGCTTATCTTTCTCCATAAAAAGTGGCATAACCATCTCTATCTTTTTCCACCATTTTTGCTGAGTTTGAAGCTTATAGAAACCATGGAAGAAGATAGGGAGCTTAATGGAGACTAGAAAAGAAGAGACTAAAATCACTCTTCTCCACTAATTTTCATCATAATGTTAGGATGCAGTGTTAATAAATAGATATTCTTGTCATGAGAAGAATCACTTAACTAGTAGAGGAGGTCATATTAAATGAAAGCGACAGACATATGAGGTGTTGTCATGGATGTAGGCATAAAGGTCAAACAATGTTAAATAAATTTGAGATAATAAATATTTATTGAGATATTGTCAATAAATAAACTTGTGCGATTCTTTCTAGATTTTATAGTCATTACAAAAAAATTGTCTTGTAGTGACAACGAAATAATACTTGTCACTAAAAACTACTTTTATCTACAATCAAAGTTCTAAATTATGGTTCGTAACACCTGTTATAAGGTTGTAATATTATTGTTGCAGTGCTCCTCGCAATTGCAATGACCCACAATTGCATTGTGGTTTAAAATC